AGAGGTTTCCGGCACACCCCCGCCGGCTAGCTCACGTTTGTGTTTTCAGGTGACAAAGCGACATCGTACGGAGGAGCGTGGGCTTAGTCAACAAGATTATACGAGGAGAATTATTTCTTCCCCGTACAGTGATGCTCACTACTAGTGTTCCAAAGATCAATCCTTAATTCTAATGCCTTATAGGTGAGTATCTACTAGATACCTATACTTACCCATTTCTGGTATAAATTAAGGATAAGTTAGATCGGTGGCAAAATTGTGCTCAGTAGCTCGGTTGAGCGCACGCGGGAGTGCCTGGGCAGCCTAAGTCTGCAAAGTAGAAAACAAAGGGGTTAAGCACAGATCATTGGACCGTGCTACAAATTAAAAGCAAGGTACAAGAGCCCTACTTCGGCCTTAAAAACTAGTTCTGCCTCGATTCGTCAAAAGGTTTGGTAGCTCGGTTTAAGCAGGTTGGTTATTAGACCGGTTCATCGTCTAGGGGCAGCTTACTTAGTTCGGTCTAGAAAAACTAAGAAAGTTGGTTTAGCCCCAAAAATGCCTAAATCGGTTGAAGTATGAGCTTTGTTACTTCGGTTGAGCCTCTAGGGGCAGCTTTTCGAGTTTTGGTTCGGAAACAAAGAAAGCTGGCTTAGCCCCAAAGGCTTAGCTCTGTTGAAGATCGAAGTTCCTAATATGTTCAAACCTCGTTCGGTAATTTTATTTCGGCTACAGTGAATCAGGAGTTGGTGACTCAATGAAACTTTTGTTACAAGTTCTAGTTCGGTTATTGTTTAAAGTGATCTACCTATATAGGACAAACGGTATCCTGGTTCGGTTGCTACATGATTTTGGATCTAAGTCTAGTTTTCTACAGAAGTTCATACACGCATGAGTTCTGCTATTGTTTTTCCATGAAAGTACAGAAGCGAAGCAGAAATGGAAGAAAATGTTTTGCAAAAAATACAGTAAACAAAATACATAGAACAGATACGAAAGCAAAACAAAGGAAGCAAAATGAGTTTACTTACCAGGTTGAAGAAGAGGGAACTGGAGGTGGGAAAGTGGCAGCAAAATCAGTCTTCAGAAGCAACGGAAGAATAGCAAGAGCACAGAGAGAGAAGATGAAGAATGGAAGGTGAATGATTCAAAGATGGAGGGGTTGTTTTGTGTAAAGGACGAAAAGGCAAAAAGGGCAGGACTGTTCAAAAATTTCGTAGTACGAGGGCGGCGTGACAGCTGCCCCTGGCTTATCAGAGTCCGCCACGTGTCATTGGAAAGGGAAGCGTTACAGACGCTGTGATTGAAGAGACGTTTTGACCGGACAAACAGAGCCTGGAGTAAAAGTAGCTCGACTGAAAGGTTTGACAAGTTTTTAGCACGGCTTAAGAGCTTAAGAGTTTTTTTTTTTAGCTCGGTTGGAGAGGCTAAACTGTTCTTTTTAGCTCGGCTGGAAAGGCTTAAGAAACTCCAGCTCGGCCGATAAACTGGTAATCCCAATCATGCTATGCAGATGGAACTAAGGGGCAATTGAGAGGGTAATTTTTGGTAAAAGTTGGGCCGAGCTGCGAGATGGACTTTATGGCCCAAAGTACGAAGGACTGGATAAAAAGGACTAATGGAAATATGAAAGTTACTCCGGTCAGAGTGATAAAGTTACTCCGGCCCAGGAGAGATGTTGAGTTACTTCGGTCCGTGCAGCCTTTCTAGTTAGGCCGGTCTCAGAGATAGTCCGGTCATAAGGTATTCCGGGTAGATCGGTCGGAATGTTGTTACTCGGTAGAACGGTCCAAACACACCATGGTTCGTGTATGAGAGAACCGAGATATGGTGTAGCAAGAAGAACCGAACTACTGTTAGTACAACCTACTCTGTGGCTTAGTATAGCCAGGCTTATCTCGGTCGTATGGCAGTTCGGCCATGATGAAAACCATCCTACTTGGTTAAAGCAGTGGGAAGGGGTGTAAAAGGATAAGCATTATCCTTAGGAGTATGAATCCTAGGAGGACTTTGCATGGAGAAGTACAAGTCCTACTAGGATTGTGCCACTCGAAACCTATAAAAGCTCACAAACATCACATTGGAGGAGGTAACAGAACACAACACACAATTTTGCTTTCTGAAAACATAGAGCTTTGTCTATTTGTCAAGTTTACTGACTTAGGCATCGGAGAGGTTTCCGGCACACACCCGCCGGCTAGCTCACGTTTGTATTTTCAGGTGACAAAGCGACGTCGTACGGAGGAGCGTGGACTTGGTCAACAGGATTATACGAGAAGGCGTATTCTTTCCCGTACACTTTGTGTTATATCTCTCTTTTTGGCCTCATTTTTCATAGCATTTTGAACATATTTGCATACTGTTTTGGGTCCGGCCATCAACTGTAAAATGCATTATTTTTGACTCCTCTTCAACATTGTTGAAGGGCCCCTTTGTGTTTAAGGCCAGCAACCACCACTTGCTTCTTTGGCCATCTGCATAATTTTAAATAAAGTACTTTTACTTATTTGGAATAAATTGAAATGCATTTTATTTTATTTTTTTTGTTGTAATATTATGGCATCAATGGATTTTTTTTTTTGGGTTCTAGTATTATAAAAGTATTATTATTTTTATTTTGGTTGTAATATTATGGCATCAATGGATTTTTTTTGGGTTCTAATACTATAAAATTAATAGATTAAAACTAATTATAAGTGAAATTCATCAATCTATTTGAAAGAATTGTTTCAAGTTAAATGATCTTCTAAATAAAGAAAGTAATATAATTTTATGTGATTTATAAATTTATTTATTTTATTTATAATGAAATATTAATGTTTTTCTTTATTCATCAAAAAGGTATTATCATTTTATTTTGTTATATTTTTTTTTCGACCCTGCTACGTAGCTCGAAAGAGTTTGGCTTGAATTTGGCTCGACACCAAAACAACTTTTGGTGTTTTTTTTTTTTTTTCCTGTGTTTTTGTTGCAAAAGGAAGAAGAACAAGAATGGTGGAGAAGAAGAGAAGGAGAAGAGGAAGGAGGAGGAGGAAGGAGGAGGACTGGAGGGGGCATAATCACAGGGGGAGGAGGAGGCGAAGGCGGGGCCGAAGGCGACGGCGGTGGTGCTGCGACGATCTCTGGTGCTGCGACGATCGGCGGCGGCGAGGCGACGGCGGTGGTGCTGCGACGATCTCCTCTCCTCCTCTCTCTTTCTCCCTCTCTTCTCTTCTTTCTCTCTTCTCTCCCTTTTTCTCCTCTGTCTCTGTCTTCGAATTCGAATTTGAGCCAAAATCGGGCCACTTTTTTCGAGCTACCAGTCATTTTCATTTTTTTTTTATAGATAAGTCAATTTCGTTATTTCAAATGTGAGGACATTTTCGCCCATGTACAAAAATATCTATGTTTCTGAAAATCAGCACATTTATTTCTATTTATGTTTTACATTTTTCCATACAAGTGGAGGTAGTTACGATAATTAAATAAATTCTTAACATGTGCCCTTAAAGCACATGTTAACAAGACCCTAAGGCCATGTTTGATTCACAACACTAATAGTGAGGTATTAATAATCCTATTAAATTAATGTGGTATTAGTTATCCCACCCCTACCCCATTACTAATAATCCTACAAATTTGTTGGATTAATTATCCATTGGATTAATAATCCTAAACTTATCTATGTTTCTGAAAATCAGCACATTTATTTCTATTTATGTTTTACATTTTTCCATACAAGTGGAGGTAGTTACGATAATTAAATAAATTCTTAACATATGCCCTTAAAGCACATGTTAACAAGACTCTAAAAGAATTATGAAATTAGGGAAAAGGGGTTTTCAAATACGTAAAAAATATCTCATATTTTATTTTTTTTAAAATCTTTTTTCTTGTATGAGAAATGACATTTATTTGTGAATGCATATTCATCACATAAAACAAATAGAAAAAAAAAAAAAATTATAGGGAAAAAATGATCAAAACTCTTCACGTTATATGCAGTTTTTCATCTAGTATGATAAGCTTTTCTATTTTAAAATGCGTTAGACATTATATATAAATGTAATTTTTTAATATATGACCTGAAAAATAAATTAAAATAGCAATTAAATTGGATAATAAATAATATTTTTCAAAAAAATAGTAAATAGGACCAATTTAAAGGGTTATTTTTTTTTGAGTAATTAGGGATACTAAATTTTTTACCAAACAAATAACTAAATATCTCTCATAAAAAAATAAATTTCATACCCATATGAAACATTTAATCATTTATTTGATAAAAAATTTAAAACTTAAAATATATTTTTTTTTCAATCAATATAAATGCATTAATGCAAGTCTTGCTAATCTTGTTTGAGGCGTTATATTTCCACCGCTCCAACTTGCAAAAAAATTAGAAGATAAAAAAGTTGATCCTTGACTTCCATCATAAAAATAAGTATTTATTTATTTTTTTGAACAGACTCATAAAAATGAGTATGAATCCAATGAATGAACTCCACAGTAGCTTTGAAGCAATTCATGATAACGAGGAACCGCGTGACAAATGGGCCCAACTATGAGCTCATTGCCAGCCATCCCTTTACTGGATGCCCTTTTTCACAAACATTATAAACTCATACCCAGTAAATCTTTTTCACAAAATCGCAATTTTTTACTTCATCTACACATCCCTATATAATTTTAGTTGATTTCCCACTTCAGATTCAAGAAAACCAGAAAAAGAAAGAGAGAGACAGATCTTTCTTTCTATTTTTGTAGAATAGAGTCATTCATATACATACTTGGTTAGTTCCCATAATTTTCCCACTCTTTCTTGATTCTTTCTTTCCCAAGATCCACACATTTCTGGGTTTTGTTTGTTCGCTTACATAATGTGGGCATTGTGTTTGTATAATTATTTCTGAACAATGGGTCGTTTGCTTGATTGGTACTAATTCACAGTCCATTTTGCATCTAGATTTGTAGAGACAAGAGCTTTGGTGTTGTCTACAATGGGAAGAACAGTCTTACTGTATTCAGTTTTTGTTGTTGTGACTTTGTTGAGTGTTTCTCTGGTGAAAGCAGAGGATGCTTACAGATACTTCACATGGACTGTCACTTATGGAACAGCCTCTCCTATGGGTGTTCCTCAACAGGTTTGGCTTTATTACCATTTTGTCCTTCAATAAACAAGTAGTTTTTTCAATTTTTCTGAAGTTTTGGTATTTGGTTTTTAAGGTTATTCTTATCAATGGGCAATTTCCTGGTCCTAGACTTGATGTTGTCACTAATGACAACTTGATCATCAATGTCATTAATAAGCTGGATGCCCCCTTTCTCTTGACATGGTAAGTCTCTTTCATTATCTTTCAATGTATTGGCCCATCTTTGGATTTTGTAGTTGTACCTGTATTGGGCATATGTTTTGGTATGGTGGTCATATGGCTTGATTAACTAATTTTAATTTGGGAAAATATTGGATAAATAGGAAACGAAGAAACTAATTGCAAATCAATCGGTGGAGTGCAAGTGAGAACTATTCCTAAGGCACGTGTTTTTCACTTGATGGGGGTACATATGTCACTTGCACTCCATTGACTTGCCATTAGTTTCTCAATTTTCCATTTATCCAATATTCCCCCCTTATTTAGTTGAAAAATTTGAACCTGGAGCTGCATAGTAAGTCCACATGAAGGCTTGACTGAATGAAATACCTGTTTCTTGAAAATATTTATGCTAATTGAGCAGATTACCTGAACACTTGTCCTGAAGCTTATCTATTTGGCAAACTAACTAGTTCCATTGTTTCCCAGCTGTTCCATATCTTGTTTTAACTTTTAAAAATAGGAAAATGATATAAGTCTCAAATTTTTTACCAAATAAATGACCAAATGTTTTACATGTGAGACATTTGGTCATTTATTTGATATTCCTAACATTACCCTTAAAAATGTGCTCAATCCAATGTGCATTATCCCTATGCATAATGAATGACAAAGACTAAACGGTAGCATGATTTGGAATGTGTTTACGAGCATTGGAATATTTGTAGCCTCCTTGAGTCCATTATAATATTGGATCATAAACCTAAAATATTTAGGTTTTGAGAGTCAATTTCAATTACCCATTTGCCTTAACCTGAACCTTTTTCGTGCCTCAAAACGACACGTTTTTTTGTATTTCCGCTTACCAAAACATATTTTATACTCATATTTATATCCTTAAATGGGTTTTGAACACTTCTTGAACTCATATGTTGCTTTGTCAAATGTAAAATGTCCAAAATTTTGAGAAAATATTATTGCTAATATTAATGCCTAATTTACTGTTACTTTTGTGCAATTTCTCGTCATTCATGTGGCATTTAGAATAAAACTCGGTCTAATAACAGTAAATTTTTACTTTTAGGAATGGAATTAAGCAGAGGAAGAATTCCTGGCAAGATGGTGTGTTGGGGACTAATTGTCCTATCCTTCCTAACTCAAACTTCACTTACAAGTTCCAAACCAAAGATCAAATTGGAACCTACACATACTTTCCATCGACTTTCATGCATAAAGCTGTTGGAGGGTTTGGAGGGCTAAATGTATATGCCAGATCTGTGATCCCTGTACCATATCCCACACCTGCTGTGGATTTTACTTTACTTATTGGTGATTGGTACAAGACCAGCCATAAGGTGAGGAAATCTATATTTTAATGTATATAGATTACACAATTCTGCATTTATGAGTTCATGTTCTTCATGTTTAAGTATTTTATTTTTTAATATATATCTGAAATTTTTTGAAAATAATGGCATTGGCAGTGTGCGTTTGTTAAACAACTAGGAATACATTATTTTAGATAATGTTTGTGTTCTAAAACAATTCAACAATTTTTTTTTAAAGATAATGAAAATATTATGCCAGAAGTCTGTCTCCTTTTCTAATACTAGTGAGTCAATTTACTTTGAAATGTGACTAGAAGCATGGTGCCTGCGTGAAATTTACATGCCTGTTATGCTCTAATGGTTTTCAATAAATTATAATTAATTTTCCAAGTCTTGATGTTTGCAGGCATTGCAGCAATTTTTGGATTCAGGGAAATCTCTTCCCTTTCCTGATGGCATCCTTATAAATGGGAAAACTCAATCCACCTTTAGTGGTGATCAAGGTCCGCCCCATCATTTTATTATTGGAAAATGTTTAAACAATTTTCAAGTATTTTAATCCTGTCGAAAAAGAAGAAAGATTTGATTAACAATGGTTCACTTTCTTTTGCTTTTCAGGAAAAACCTACATGTTCAGGATTTCAAATGTGGGCTTGTCGACCTCCATTAACTTTAGGATTCAGGGCCATACAATGAAGCTAGTTGAGGTTGAAGGATCTCACGTTGTTCAGAACACATATGATTCTCTAGATGTCCATGTTGGCCAATCTTTGTCTGTCCTAGTTACCTTGAATCAGTCTCCAAAGGACTACTACATTGTTGCGTCTACACGGTTTGCGAAGCAAGTTCTTACAGCTACCTCAGTGCTACACTACACGAATTCTCAAACCTCAGTTTCTGGACCTGTGCCTGCCAGTCCAGCTGACCAAATACAGTGGTCTATGAACCAAGCCAGATCCCTCAGGTATATATAAATGCCAGAACTGAACTCACAAACACAAGCACGACGTCAAACGTCCTTATTTTGCAGGATGTACGTGCACATCTGAGATTTTTAGGCTGGCTTGCTATTATGTGTTTGGGTGAAAAGTGGAATTCTTTATTGGTTTTTATAGTGTTTTACATGGCATGTGAAGCAAGAAGCTCATCATCATTTGTCAAGTGACTCAAGAATACCAGAGATACCACAGCGGAATTATTTCAGTCTCCATTTAACATAGCTATTGTCACCATGAAAAGCTAGAGTCTCGCAGTGCATTGATATGCAATTGCTGAATGTATTTTCCATTAGAGAAATTTTTTTCCTCAGATTTTGTTTGGGTCAATGATTTGAGAAGAGACTGTTTGGAGAAAAAGTATGTACGAAGGGAAAAACTTATTAAATTTTGTTTAGTTTCCCCTTCTCTTTTCTTTTCTCTTTCCAAATCCCTTATCAGATCTTTTGATTCAAACAGACCCTCGACAAGCCTGAAAGAGATGGGAAAAAAGTAGTCCTTGAGTAATTGGACATTAGAAGTGTTCAATTATACTTTTCCATTTTTTGTCAGATTCAAGCAAATGTGCTGATTTTTTAAATTTATTTTTAATTATTTTTTCCTTTTTATTTTTTGAAGGTGGAACTTGACAGCAAATGCAGCGAGGCCCAACCCCCAGGGATCATACCATTATGGAAAGATAACAACAACAAAGACATTTGTGTTTGCTAACTCAGCTCCCCTAATAAATGGGAAACAGCGATACGCTGTTAACAGGGTCTCCTACATTAATCCTGATACTCCTCTAAAGCTCGCCGATTATTTCAACATCCCTGGAGTCTTCAGCCTGGATTCCATCCAAAGCGTTCCCTCTGATGGCCATGCATTCCTAGCTACATCTGTTGTGCCTGTCTCCCTCCACGACTTCATTGAAGTCGTTTTCCAAAACAACGAAAACGCAATGCAATCTTGGCATCTTGATGGCTATGATTTTTGGGTGGTTGGGTAAGTTTAACCATTCTTTTGCTTGTCCTTCATGACTTCTGTGATGCAATTAGTTCCTGACCATTTTTCCCATATTCAAAATTACAGTTATGGTTCCGGACAGTGGTCAAGTGCCAGCAGAACGGCTTACAATCTAGATGATGCTCTTACAAGACATACTGCTCAGGTAATCTAACCTCGATAACAATTGTAATTGCTGTCATTGCTATTTTTGCCAATCATATCGCCTTATATTCGCTTTCATTTTTTCGCTTGTTCTGGATTTTTAGGTATATCCTAACTCCTGGACGGCCATATTAGTCTCATTGGACAACCAAGGCATGTGGAATATGAGGTCAGCAATATGGGAAAGACAGTATGTTGGGCAGCAATTCTATCTGAGAGTATTCAACCCGAACCACAGCCTTGCTAATGAATATGACATTCCTCCTAATGCTCTTCTTTGCGGCAAAGCAGTTGGACGACATTCTTGATAATGATTTTTTTGTTCGGTATTCTGTTTTTCGGTCATGAGAGTTTGACTGAGGAAGGGGGGAGAGGGGAGGAGTTATTTCTAAATCTTTTGGTTTCTTAAGTTTTTGTATATCGCAGAAACTATAGGTTATTAATCTTTTTTTTTAATGAATGATTATATGATTAGCTTTATTTACTTTGATTTATTTTATGAAATGATTGTGGCTGGTTGCAGCATATTGTTTGAGAATTAGGGGAAAGGAAAAAAGGGCCTCCACAATCCAAATTAAAAGTGAATGGTGGGTCAAGATGATCAAATCTTTAATTGTGTAATGAATTTTACTTTTATAAACACTTTTGTCAACTCATCAAACATGTTTTCTTGATTTTGTTTTCAAATGTAATCAAAATGTGTGCACCATACAATTTTTTTAAAAACCAGAAATTGACAATATTATCAAACACCACCATAATATTGGGCACATAATTGCGCACTAAAAACAAGTCTATGGGTTTAATGTTGAATGTTTACATTGTCACAATGAGTTCCACAATCTCTTCCTTCATAGTCTACAGTCATCCAAAACATTGAAGACAGAACCAGAGGAATTTTTATTTGTAAACTTTCGAATCGAGTTCTAGTATCTGACTTCAATCAATTGGTATTATTGAAAACTTTCAAGACATAATATTGGTTCTAGATCATAAATACACATACACATCAATTACCCTTACAACTAAGAGCTATAGAAACTGTCATAAATGGACAATAAAGCCAATAGACAATGACATTGATCATAAATTTACCAGAGACAAAAAAAAGAAGAAGAAGACATTATTGTCACACATTAATTGGAACAGCGCGCAAAGGTTGAGCCTTTTGTACCTTTTGTAAGGTGATGCCAACCTTTTCCTCCATGTCCAAGTCCCTTGGTGCAATTACACCTTCAAGCTTCCAATCAAACGAGTTTATGAACGAGCCCAACATCATCGGAACCATCCTTATAATAAGCTCAAAATCCTGACTGCGGACATCAATTTCTGAGCCCAAAAACCTCTCAGGCATAAATGAGGTTGGGTATGGCCATATGCTTGGGTCGCGGCCAATAGCCCAAGCATTTACTAGCACTTGTGCTCCTTGTGGGACTATGTAGCCACAAACTTCAACATCTGTCTCAACCTTGCGAGGGATTAAGAATGGGACGGGTGGGTGTATCCTCGAGGTCTCTTTCACGATTGCTTGCAAGTAAGGCAAGCGCGAAATGTCCGATTCTTCTACTAATTTCCCTTTGCCAATAGTTTGTTCAAGCTCGGCTTTGGCTTTCTTTAAAGTCTCGGGATTTTGCAATAACTCCGCCATTGCCCATTCTACTGTGTTTGAAGTTGTATCTGTCCCCGCTGCAAAGAGATCCTGTAACAGAATTGGTGTATAAATTAGACATCATGTCCAAGGCTTCAAAACACATGTTAATAATGTAAAATATTAGTGAAGAGGGAGAGAAATGCGAACCAAGAACAAATGCTCAATGTGAATTCTATCAATCTCTTCATTGTTCTGTTCATCGATATCAAGCAGGACATCTAAGACATCGTTTCCTTCTCTAGCCTTCCCCAATTTCCTCAATTCTGATCGTTCATCGATCAATCGACCAAAGAGCTGAATTATTTTAGCAAAGTGGACTCTCATCCGACCCCTTATCGATTTTCATAAGCGCGGGAAAGTAATCAACCAAGTTGGGCTTACGAGCTTCTTCCATGATATTCGAAACCAGCTCCTTGAACTCTTTTGACGAATCATGACTTGGGTCGGCCAAATCCACCGAAAACAAAGTGTTTGACAACAAATTCAGGAAAGTTGTGAAAGCTACGCGTCCTATATCCACCGCAACACCTTCCTGGCAACACTTTGCGACGTAGGAAATGAGCTCCTCCACCTTCTGCCGCCGTAGGTATTGGTTAGCGTCAAGCCTGTTTCCTGAAAAGACAGAAAAATGATTTACAAACAGAATTCGTACACGTGTGGTAGTAGTCTTTTTACAGTTATTAAACCACAGTGATGAAAGGACTATAATATAAAAATTGTGTTTGAAAGATACAGATAACGTAGTGGGTGAAAGCATTCAAATTATACCTTGCGTAAAAGAATTTGAAACGAAGAATTTTATGGGTAAATTACATGCTTGACAATCACGAACTATGAACTCCTAGCAATAGAGTGATACCATAGTATAAGTATCACCCACTCTATTCACAGTGCAAAGGCTTTCGATTTTCATATGGAAGAGAGTTGGACAGAGAGTATGAGAAAAATATTATGGGTAAAAATCACATAACTGATGTTCTATATTATCTAGATATATAATCAAATATATAATCATATATATCTATCTATCCATATCTCCTAAGGATATGATAGATGTAGATAGATAGAGGGTTATCCTAACAAATAGGATAATCAGGAAATCAAATTCAAATTACATGGGTAATTTGAATGGGTCATGGGTCATGCCACATGGGCGCCCAAATACGGGTCCAATACCTGGCCCAATTTACAACATCTCCCACTCGCACATGAGTTGGCATGACACTGTTACATCTCTATCTCAATCTCCTCAAATATTGAACAATCCCATACTAGCCAATGAACCGTGCGACCACTGAGAAATACCTGCATGTGGGAGCTCTATACTAGAACTCAAAAAATTAGCCAGCATGGAGACATTAACCCGAAATAAAAATAGTGTCTCATATATCCCAGACCCATCTAATTACATTGGTCCAAAAAAACATCTCTAATCTCTCAAAAGAGCATGGTTGACCCTCTCAATTCTTGCAATATATTCACACTCAATCCGTCTCTCATACAGAGCAATGTGAGTGGCGACAGTGAATATACAACAGTGGTGTAATACTAGATGATCTTCCCTTTGCCCTTATGCCATTTAGTTTAGGATTGACCGTTTTTCCAGTGATGTCCTTTAAGGCTGAATCATATATGATTGCAGGCAACATACTAAAGTAGCAGAACATCAACCCCTTATCTTATGACATAGTCAAAAGTCACAAAAGGGTACATAAATGAAAGTCATATCAATAATGACACGTAAGACTCACACGGTGAGGAAACAGGGATCCATTCTCTCACCTCATTACTCGGTCGCCAAGCACATATATCATCGAAGACAGACCGAGAATTTTCCTAAAACAGTCCCTAAGGATCGTACATCCGAGCATATAAATTACATCACTCATGTCCATCATATCTAAAATAGAGGACTGCCCACCCTAGGTGGCGACAACCTTATAAATTCCTGGCTCATAATGACTAAGTAAGGAAAAACTTCTTTTGGACCATTGATCATGCCTCCAAAACTACGTTGTTTTCTCTCTTGGTTACCCATAACCATATATCAGATATATATTATATTTATCTCATTTATCCATTGGTTAAATGAGATAATATCTGATATCTATATCATCTATCCATATCATGATATGATAGATATATATCCTGAGTGGCTCATCCAAATAGGTTTGAATTTAAATTCAAAACCTATTTGGATGAGGTTCAAAAGGTTCTAAGGGTCATGCCACATGGGCGCCCAATTTCTAACATCTCCCACTCGGACATGAGTTGGCATGACACTGCCACGTCTCAATCTCAATCTCCCCAAAAATAAACAATCTCATACTAGCCACTGCACCGTGCGACTGCTGAGAACACCTGCATGTGGGAGCTCTATACTAGAAACTCAAAATGAGCCAGCATAGAGACATCAACCCAAAAAGAATAGAAATAGTGTCTCATATATCCCAGACCCATCTAATTACATTGGTCCAAAAAAACATTTCTAATCCTTCAAAAGAGCATCTCAATTCTTGCAATATATTCACACTCAATCCGTCTCTCATACAGAGCAATGTGAGTGGCGATAGTGAATATACAACAGTGGTGTAATACTAGATGATCTTCCCTTTGCCCTTATGCCATTTAGTTTATGATTGACCGTTTTTCCAGTGATGTCCCTTAAGGCTGAATCATATATGACTGCAGGCAACATACTAAAGTAGCAGAACATCAACCTCTTATCTTATGACATAGTCAAAAGTCACAAAAGGGTACATAAATGAAAGTCATATCAATAATGACACGTAAGACTCACACAGTGAGGAAATAGGGTTCCATTCTCTTACCTCATTACTTAGTCGCCAAGAACATATAGTATGAATACATGCTACGGTGGAGTAACTCTTCTAAAAGAGTGACGTCATACTCGATACACCGTACAGAACTTAGTCTAGTCGCTTTCTAGTGCCTAACCCGAATTCTCTATTGGCTCGTCTTCCAGGCACTAACTGAGATCTCGCATCTGGCTAATCATAACAGGCACAACATGGAAAGTGGGTACTAACATCCATGTTTGGTCCTTAACACGACCTCATCTTGGTTGTAACCAAGGCGACATACATAGTGGATAATTCAAGCCTCTCTTGGCTCCAAATAAAATAAACCACTAGTCTCATTTTTGCTCGCTTCCAAGCGCCAAGGGCGATTGCTCGTGTGAGTAAGCCAATCTTGCTTACTGACATCATCATTTGCTAATCATTATGACACAAACTATAATAGTGTCAACATCCCATCATCTCACAACAAATAAATGATCGATTTAAAAAATAAGACCACAGTCTACGCAATTCTAGATTTCAGGCATAAGCCTTATCAGCACCTTTTGCGATAAGCATATACAATGGAATCCACCATGTGCGCCTCACATGAAATGGTTCAAGATCACTACCTTTTGCGCAATTACCTCTCTAAAGATATTTTGGTGACCAATTGTCGCGACCCAAACCCGTCCTTATAGGTTTAGCGTCATGACCGGTCAGTAATCCGAGATTACCAAAGGCCTGCTTATCAGTTGGTGGAAGCTTATAAATAATAAAATATAACGTCCAATGAGTTGTGAGGACTAATATGTAACAAAACAACTTTCATATATGTATATACACATCAGTCTAAGCATCAAGCTTATGTACAAAAATACAACATAATTAGGGATTAAATCCCATTAACAAAATCAATCTTAACTTCAGATATGAAAACATTCAGAACTAGTCTCAGTGACGTTCAAAACAAAAGGGTGAACTCTAAATCACCCATGAAACCTTGAAGCTTGTCTCAGTAGGAACCTCAAAGTGAGGCACAGAAGTTGGCTTGACAAAACAGAGTTTAGGTCAACGCCACTAAGTTCGCCCTTGCACTTGATCACCTACATATAAATATAAAATAATGAGTTACAGCCCAGTGAGTAACAAATGTACAAAGAGGTTAAGAATGATGTCCTTTACAGTCTTTGAAACAATCGATTAGCATTAGAACACTTCAATCACTATCATTTGTCAATTAATCGTTCAATTCAATCGATTCAATCAATCATATTCTTATAGGTCATACGTGGTACATCCAATAACAACAATACACTAGGTCTTAAAAGACCGAACAATCAATTGATGGCCATGAAACAATAACACTAGTTCCAAGATTTGGAACTGACAGAGATCTCTGTAACAGTAACGATATCAATAACAATCACAATACGCTATGGATGCCACGAATACAATTCAAAATAGGATCATTATTCAATCGATAAAATGTATCATTTCAGAAAGCAATATGATTTATCAATCTGAAAATAAATACGATTGAACATATCCTTACAACATTGTTACTCACAGTTAGCTCCTTGAAGCACATGATCACAATGTGGCGTCTAACCTACACAAACACATTCAAGCACAATATCTCAAAACATGTTCAATTCATTCAATCGGTTCTTAAATCTATTCAGTTCATTCGGTACTTGTTCGTTCGGTTATTTCTATTCGTTCTTTAATTTCCAAATCTTAATGCAAAAACTTCCTTAATTTGTCAATATCAAAACTATAACTTCATGAATATAATGATTCAAAACTTTTCTTCCTTTTTTCTTACAAAATATGAAATTAAAGCTACAAGGCTCTTAGAAAAATATCTACATTTATGAAATTCAAATTAAAATCAAACTAATTCTTGATTGTCAAATTCAAGTTATAATTTATTTCTTAATTTTTCCAATTTTAGATTTAATTCATTTTCTCTATATCGAACCCAATTTCAAATCCACAAATTTTAAAACATGAATTAAACTTTCAAAATTCTTGAAAAATTCATAATGCATGTACAATTGAAACTCAATTTCATGTTAAGACAACTAAATTCAAACCTAAAGTGATTAATTTCTAAGTTAATTTCCATAAATTTGAACCTAATTCCATTGCAGGCAATCTTGAAAGCATTAACATCACAAACTTCTCTGCATGGTTCGATTCGGGTTTGGATTCGCATCTAATAAACTCATAGCCTCACTGAAATAAAAGGTGCGAAAATAAATACATCTAAAAGGAGTTTTGTCAAACGGGGTTGTCAAGAATAAAAACCTAACACTATCAATTTATATAATTGATTCTCAATTCTTCATTTTTAATCCTCTCAAAATCCATCTTAAATCAATTTATGTCTAGATTATTTAAACAATACTAGAAAGAGGATGGAATTTCTTACCTAAAGATGAATTTTTCACAATTTTAAGTTTGAATTTTGGTATCTCACAAGGCTTTTTTCTTCCCTTTTCTTTCTTCCTCTCGGTTTCTCTCAGCCCGTGCCCTCTCGTTCTTTTTCTAACTTTGTTTCCAGCAGATTGAAGAACACCTTTGACTTCATTCATCATCTTTTCTTTTATTATTTTATTTTATTCATTTAGTGGACACTTGTCCTTATTATATGAACCCATGTGGTGGTGTATTAACTCTTTCTTTAACTAATTAATCTTGCTTAGGATACTTAATTGAGATTGATCTTTGATTACAATTAGCTTAATTAACTATCTCTTAATTTTAATTAGTTATGTAAAATTCTAACCCAATTAATCATGACTACGTACAAATCCCACATAATTTTAATTAGTCTAATTGACTTCAATAAATGTCCAATCAAATCATAATTAAGTTGATCAGTCTGGATTAGATTTTTAATCAAACTTCCAAAAAGCTCCAAATGTCCAATTAAACTCATTACCATTCTAAATTTTGGTCTGTCATATCATTAAGGCCCTTCAATTTCGGATTAAACCCAAAATTTTCATCAATAAATTACATATTTAAAATTGGACAACTCATAGTTAAATTTAATTCATAATAACCACAATTCTCAATCCTCATAATTAATAACCTTCATTAACTCCAATTCGGACTTAATTAATCGAATCTCAATTTTACTAAACTGAATCGAATATATAATTAAACGCCCAAATGGGTCCGTAATTAAAATTAAATTTATTCAATTTCTTAATTTCACTTCCTTAAGCTACTTGGACCCTTAATTTCTAATTCCCAAATAAATCTTTAATAATATATGAATTAGATTCCACAATTCTCATAAATCCCAAATTAAATTAGGATAACGATTAATTGAAATCCCAAATCTCCTTAATTAACCAAATATAAAATATTATACATGGCGGGGTTGTCACACCAATCTGCATTCATTCAAGATGCGTCAAACTAGCGCATTGAATCTTACAAGGGGCAAATTTATATACTACTAGCAAAACACTCTATCCACAGTCTAATGAGCAAGGTCAATGTCTAAACTACTTAGTTGACCATTTACCAAAGATAACACTCATTATGCCGAATACGCCCACATAGCGTACTTCAGGCTCTCACAACAAAAAAGATCAAGGAATATAGGTCATCTATTTCTCCCAATGACAATCCAAGGATTCAATCAATAGCTAAGGCTCTGGCTTTTACTGATAGGTAAGTCAATGGGTTTGTAATTTTGCATCTAGAATCATTCTAAGATATTCCTTATGTAAGTCATCAAAGACAAACCGGGAATTTTCCCAAAACAATCCCTAAGGATCGTACATCCGAGCATATAAATTACATCACCCATGTGACGCCCCCAAATTAATACAATAAAGATAACTCATATGCGGAATAAATATGAGAAACAACATACTTTCATATATCAGAGTTCACTGTTTAATAACCAGTTAAATGTCATGTAGGCTTACATCTTTCCAAGTCATTGCTTGGTTACGCAAATAGAGTCTTGCTCATTACATCTTAAGCCCTTGGCTTTACAAATAACAAACATACAAACATAAGGCATAATTAAGAAGCTCTTGCTTCCCGAAAGTCCATCCACGCTATTGCCTTGGAGGAAACATTTCACCTGCACCTGAAAATGATATTTCCGTATAGGGTGAGCCAACAGTCAAGTAGAGATAATCTAACACAATATATGAGGTTTAGCAAAGGTATAAATACTACGTGCATGAACAATACCGATACTAAAACATCCACAAGGCCTGCATATTCATATGCCATTAAGACTTAACCTCTTTCCATTTTCCTTCAATTCATTTTTAGTTCATATATGCTACCCAATTCATGAGTTAAATTCATTATCTTTTAACAACCAAAATGAGACTACAACTCAATGGTTTTACAACCATGCAAAATACACATAAACACTTCAAACCTACCATTTTACGGATATTTTGTCCGAAGGAATCGACACCCATTTATATATAAAATTTCGGGTCTTTTACCTAGGACACTCTGGCCAACTTGCTTTAAATGGAGTCTATCCCCTTTCTACTCCCAAACAAATATACATATGCAATGTATTTATAAACATAATCATGTATGGAGTACATCCACTTTCTCCTCCCAATAAACATACATATACAATGTATTTATAACATGGTCATATTCAATGACACCAACAATGGATTAGCATTAATCGCCTAATTCTCATGTAATTTCTACAACAATCATAGCTATCCTCCACCGATAGCCCAATACATTTATCTCTAAACAGATATTCAATCTCAAGATAAATAGTTTATTTACAACTTCCAAAAGTGTAAGATAATACATATCTAATTTCACCATCTATACCCATAACCTTCTAATTTCACATTTTCAATGCTAATCCCAATCATTTATACAAAATAATAATTTAATCAAATTAGGGCAAAATCTCCCTCGTTCCACATATCAACCCAAACACCAAAATCAACTATTTTGGCACAACATGATCATATATTCAAGCGTCATGCTCATTTACCTCATATTCATCAAAACCCCTCGTTTCATTTCACACCAAAATCTTAGATTTGTCCAAACCACAACCAAATCTCATCATCTATACACAATAGCATATAACTAAGTTAAAAATCACATTAGAGTGTAGAAATTCCCTACCTCAAGAAGAGAAGACGAGCAAAGCAAGATTGAACTCCAAAAATGACGAAACCCACTTTTACTTAGATTAATACGAAGCTCTTAAAGCCCTCCACCTTATTTTCAAAGACATTAGGGTCAAGAACTCAATGGATTTAGATGAAATCCTAGAGAGAATGTGAGTTTTAAGAGAGAGAAGCTCAAGATTTGGAAATTTAGAGACTTATAGAGAGAGAGAGAAAGCAGAAAATGATCTGAAATGTCACTTTCACGATATGATAAAGCGCGGCCCGCTTGAGCGTGTAAAGCCCCGCTCGAGCGTGAAACCCTCCGATCGAGCATGAAATACACTCTCACAATATTTTTGCAGACACAGTCCCCGCTCGAGGGCCCGAATGCCCGCTCGAGCGTAGAGCAAATTTCAAAAGCCTACTCGAGTGCAAGAATGCCCGCTCGAGCAGAAGAGCCAAATTCTAGGTAACAAAGGCTTGGAAAAATAAACAACCAACCTGTTCCAAACACACAACTACAACCCAATAACCAACATTAAGGGGAGACAAGGGAAGCAAGACATGAACCATCATCCAAACCATACAAACCCGAGTCCGGAACACCACAAGAGACGGGTCAAAACCAGGGTCGCTATAACCCATGTCCATCATATCTAAAACAGAGGACTGCCCACCCTAGGTGGCGACAACCTTATAAATTCCTAGCTTATAATGACTAAGTAAGGAAAAGCTTCTTTTGGACCATTGACCATGCCTTAGTGGTCTTTATCAATTATCGTTGGCCTATCATGGCTCAACGAAATCTAAGAACCACTATTTGGATAACTGTTTTAGGCTGTAAAAAATTTATTGGAACTAGCAACCTTTTTGCGCTCCTAACTTTTCACCATAAAAGCAGAAGGTAAATCCCTAGGGATCTACTTATCCAATTCTCCAATGAGAAGTTGGGTCACAATGTCCATAAATCAATGCTCCGAACTTATGTTAATCATAGCTTAAGTCGAAATAATCTCACTCCCTAGGAGGAAGTCTTCTTATGGTCTACACCTTCTTCAATGGAGCGACTTTTCAGTATCTAGCGAGCCTTATGCCTCAACAATGACTATCCAAATTACGCATAACTTTAGAACAGTTTCGCGTCATAATGAAAAGTCAACCAAATTATAGACATGGTTAATCCTGAAAGACTTTGTCTTAAACTGCGCAACATTGATCTACTTTCTAAAAACAGGGGACTATAGCCTTTGGCATTATCCTAGGCTCTTTATCATCTTGCGGAGCAATCATGAATATTTCCCTCTCAATCACCCAGTGATGACGTGAAAAATTTTCACATTCGCTACCACGCAACTAATAAGGTAGAGTATTCTTCTCTAATGGAGTAATCCATTAGTAGGCACATCGCTCTCCCTATCCCTAGGATATTGGAAATTTCTTTCCATTCTCAACTAGGCTACATAGAGCGCTATGCTTAGAATTCTCTATCTTATAGAGTTCCAAAACTCTATTCACGTCATTTTTACCAAGAAAACTTTATGTGACTTAGTTACACTCCCACAGAGCTGCTTACCTATATGCACATGACCCGGAGGGTTTACATGACAACATACAATAATGCGCCACATGACCCTAAGTGTTTACAAGACAACATATAACAATGCGCCATAGAACCCTAAGTCTTAACTTCGCAACCTTATGAGAAGTAAAATAAAGATAAGCTGCTTAACGGTTACAGATCACCTATAGACGGCTCTCCGCTAGCCCATTACTCAAATGGAGTATAAAATCTGATATGGAGGGCACTTAGTTAGGGATATAAGCAACAAACTAAAGTGCAATTCCTAATTGGGAAATATTTTGTGCCATCATCTGCCTAACATTAACAATACTTAATTCCTTATCTCTACTAAACCATTGTGTTGCTGAGTACTAGGAATAATCAATTTTCCAAGCATCCATTTCTCTTCACAGAGCTTTCTAAAATAACTCAAATAGATACTCGCCACTTTAGTCAAAACTAAAAAGCACGAAAGCTGTTATTTGATTGATTTCGACCTCAGATATGCAATGTCAAGAATTATCTCAAAACTTTTGACTTATGAGAGATCAAATAGTCTTGACTCAGATGCGTATCGTAATCTATAAATGTGTCGAGATTGAGGCTAGCTGTCATACCCTTACACATCCAGTCATAAATATCATAGTGAACTAAATGCGCCAATACAATTGCCCTTCTGCGGCTTCCCTATTTACTTGTGCGCAACCATTGGGAACAAAGTTACACATTCACATGAGAGCAGGATGTCACAAGCGAGTGGGCCCGAGAGGGCTTACTCAAACCATCCATGTCATCTTCTATTAATGGTATTAAGTATAATAAGCCACCGGTTCATAACCAATGTCATAAACTAATTCCAATCATCCTAATGTGTGAGCTC